GTGTGTGATAGTGTGAGTGTGTGAGAGAGTGTGTGTGTGTGTGTGTGTGTGTGTGTGTGTGTGTGTGTGAGATAGTGTGAGTGTGTCAGAGAGTGTGTGTGTGTGTGTGTGATAGTGAGAGTGAGATGTGTGTGTGTGTGTGCCGCAGGTTCATGAAGACCCCAGACGAGATCATAAGCGGGCAGACGGATCGTCTGGAGCACCTGGAGTCGGACACAGACGATCAGATCTATGTGAAGGAGGAGTGCTGAGCCGAGACGCTCCACAGCATGAACTTCTAAAGCCGCAGATGCCTCGGTCGGTCAGTCTGACCTTTGACCTCTGTGTGACCTCCAGATCACGGAGGATCTGCACTGCACTGCTCTGTCTGTCGAAGCCCATCCTACTCGCTGTTTTTTAGTCTTATACTTCAGCAACCTTCACGGTGACAATCATTTTAATGACAAATGATGCTCTTTTTTCAAATCAGATAGAAATTGTTGGCGCAGCTTTTTTCTCTCTTTGGTAAGTATATTGTACGAAGACCTGTTGCGATTTGTGTAAACGTGGGATTACTAGAATGCTGGTGAAAATGTGATTCAATTCTATAATAAATTTTAATGAGTGACACATGGGTGTGTTTACTAATTAGAATATCATGAAAAATTTCAATATCTTTTGTTACTCATTTCAGAAAGTGAAACCCATATATTATATAGATTCATTACACATAGAGTGAAATATTTCAAGCCTTTATTTCTTGAAATATTGATGATTATGGCTTACAGATAATGAAAACCCAAAATTCAGTGACACTTCGTTGTGTACACCATGATGGTAAACAAACAAAGAAAACAAACAGGATGTTAATAAACGGCTAATTAGTGGTTTTGTCAGTAAGGGATTGAGGACGAGCCTGAAGCTAATGTTGTTTGTGGTTTGTTTACAATGCACTAGCTGCCAGCATCAGGCGCGTCCGCATGATAGCGCCACACTCGCACACATTCATCAATCAAACAATCAGCGATACTGATCAGAAAACAACCAATAACAGTATTAACTATAGCCTATGTAATGACACAGCCTTACAGGAAAATATATCGCATGATTGGGAATGATTGCCATATTCAGGTGTTTGGATGATCCACGATACTGCTGCGCCTTGTCTAAATAACGGAGTAGGCCTACTTCTGTTAATATAAGAATAAACACCGACAATCATCGTGTGCTAAATGTGTTAACAACAGGGATAATACAACTCACTCGTTTTGGGACATTTATGAAGATGGTAGTAGTGTGATCCCAGAAAACCGGGAACGTTCTGTAACGTTCATCGTAGTAACGTTACCGGTAACGTTAATAGAACGTTCGTTTAGATTTATCGGGTCCTTAATAATGTTCTCAAAACGTTAGCATAACAACGTTATTTATACATCGTGGAACTTTTTTTTGTTTGTTTTTTGGTGAAACGTTTCAGTGTTATGTTACTGTTAAAACGTTAAATGTTACAACTTTTAGACAGTTCAGAGCACTTCACGAAGTAACATTCTCATGTTTGCAGTGGAATTGTAGGATGGAACATTCCTTTAAATTCTGTGTAAATAAGAAAAAAAATAGAAGAATAGGCTGTAGCTAAACGGTTTAGAGTGGATTGTAGATTGATTAGCCTATTTGATAACTGACAGCAAAATTAGTTTTGTTTTATACCATCAGTTAGCATTTAATTGATGTGCCACAACATGATTTGCTTTAGTTATTTTTTAGACGTGTGTATTATTAGTGTCGTAACAATATATTAATCATTCAATGCCATTTTTGTTCAGAATGTATGAATAACATAATCCAGTAATGTTACGTTCATCTGACTTTTCTGGTGGTAAAACGTATAGGCTTAGAGTGTAATGTAAATGAATTGTAGTTGTGTGTGTGTGTGTGTGTGTGTGTGTGAGAGAGAGAGAGAGAGAGAGTGTGTGAGTGTGTGTGTGTGTGTGTGTGTGTGTGTGAGAGAGAGAGAGAGAGAGAGTGTGTGTGTGTGTGTGTGTGTGTGTTAGAGAGAGAGAGATGTGTGTATTTCAGTCAGTCAGTGTGTGTGAAGCTCAGGGAAGAGCAGCATCAGTTTCTCTCTCCATCTTTTTTCTCGAATTGTTTGCCTTCTGCTTTTACGGCTCATAATAAGCATCACAATTTTATTCTAACAGAAGACGCGGGAAGCGTTCCGCGGAATAATCTCGTCTGTTGAGTTCTGGGACGGTTCGGCTCTGAATCATGTGAAGCGCCGCTGATGAACAGAACAGAACCGAACCGAAAGGAAGCGGAACCCTGACTCCCGCCGGACTGATCGCGCGCTGATCGGATGGATTGATCAGGAGCGGCGCAGGTAACGTTTCGAGCTCGTTCTTTCTTCCGTCTTTAATCTGTCGCGAGCGCAGGTGAGCAGGCTATCAATCACTCAGAACCTCGAATAGGCTACAAACACACGAAACAGTTTAGAAATACAGTTTAAAGTGGATTATTGATTATTTGGTGATTGACAGCTCGATCAGTTTAGTTTTAGACACTCGTAGCCTACAATATGGTTTGTTTTGGTTTATGTTTGGCATTTTTGTTTATTATTTAACTGCCATATACAGTATTAATCATTCGGTATCGTAGTAGTGTTTGTTCAGGATACATCTGACGCAATGTACCATAGTGTAGCTACCTATAGGTGTTTTGGAAACATGATAATATGTGATAATAACATGTTTTTTTCGAAGAATCATGGTAATACTCTGGTATTTCTTGTAAGTGATGATTCTAGTGATTGGTATTTAGCTATTTATAGGCTATTTATTTAATTTTATTGCATGTTTTTTTGTATTGTGATATTAGAAAACGAGTCGTCCCACTCATTAGAGTTTCTGGAATGGCATTGATATTTGATAATTTCCCGTCTTTATCGTAAATATGTTCAGAATCCAGATGAATCTCCTCCTGTGTCTGTGAAATTGTTCTGCGGTCACTAATGGCCGTGTTTTCTGCATCTTTCTTCATCAGATGTTGAAGGTTCTTAATGGAACCGTTTAGACAAAAAAGGTTCTTCTTTGGCATCGTGAAGCAGCTTTATTTTTAAGAGTGTACAAAGCGTGACAAATACATAAGTAGCTGTTTCTACATATTAGTTGATTCTAAGTGAGCTAGGTGACAAATTTAGATGAAAAAAACATTGTGAGAACGTTTCTAAAATTCGTTGTGATTCTACTGTTATTTCAAGGTTACAAAACAAGTTTCCTACAACATTCTACTAACTTAATTTTTTTACCCAAATTATAACACCATTTGAACGTTTATTTTTAAAATGTACTGTTTTCTTGCATTTCTAGAATGTTATTTGAAGGTTACAAAAAAACATTTCTTAGAACTTTCATCAAACTCAAATTCCATTGTTAGGATGCTTTGAGAATGTTGCTCTCAGCATTATGAGAATGCATTTCAAATATTCATAGCATTGCAAGAACGTTCCATAGTTATTACTGTTACTAACATTTCTATAACTTAAAAAAAAAACACTGTGAGAACATTCCTGTTGCGTATGTGGTTGATCAGCATCAGAAACACACATGCCTGCAACACTTCAGATGCTTCTGGAGAAAGAAAACGTAGCGTTTATCGTCCTAATGTTTATTCTGAACGATCACAGCGGCAGAGGAACTTACCTTAACATGTACGTGAAGAGAAGAAAGCACAGCTTCTGTTGATGATGAAGAGGAGGACGATGGATGAAGAAGATAAACTACAGAAATGAAGAAGAATCGACGGCTGAATGGCTCCTGTTCATCGCTGATTGAGTAGATGGACACTTAATTACTACTAACGGATTACTGAGAGCCGGATAACTGGAGTAAATGAAGAGCTTGACGTTATCAGGACAGTGACTCTGAATTTAGATTTTTAACAAAATCAATATAATATGAAAGTTTTCAAACCTGGGCATCTTCATTTTTGTCGTCAAAAGTGACCATAGCCTTGAATTTTTTTTCCCCTTAGGAAAATCAATGGTGATATATTTTTGGATTATTATTTAGAATTTTTTTTAACGGGGATTTTATGCAATATTTATACAGTTTTTATTTAGCAATTTTTTTGCATAGTTATTTTTTGATCTTGAAGGTACCAAGTTATAAACGTGTATAACACGTTTAAAAACTACTCGTGTTGACCAAAGTGCTTTCCAATAAAACAACATATAAAACTAAATAACCAAAACTACAAGTGTAATTTTTTTGGTATTTTTCAGCCCTTTAACATATCCAAATCATCTCCATGATTTTTTTGTGTGTGTGTTTACATAGCAACTACAACAGAAGTCCGCAGGTGTCATCTCATGCCAATGAAGCTATGATTGTTAAAATTTCAAAATGTGACATTCTCAGTTCAAAAGTGACTGAAGAGGCCCAGATTAAACTAGTTGTTAGAATCAAACATATAAAAGGAAGCCAAAAAACACTGATCTATTAAACAGTATTCATACTCATATTGTTGCGCAGCAGTGCATATGTTTGTGTTTGTTATTCAGGGGTCACGACCCCGTCTGCTTTGGGATGGATTGGTGGTTTTGGTGTTTAGGGTGTGAATGTCTCATCTGTTGCTCATTTATAGGACATCACATGTGCTCTGCTTGATTCCAGATGACATTAATGAGGCACAAACACATCGACGTCTCCATCTTGACGGCCGCACTCATATTTTATGCATCACTAAACCTCAAGATTGGAATGACAGGTTAGTGTCACACATGCAGTTTCCCTCATCCGTCTGTGAATGCAGCGCTTGTTATTACCAAGAAAAAGGTTATGACCCGTCTTCCAGTGCAGATTGAAGTCACCATGAAACAAAAACTAATCCTAAACTAGTTGTCTGATAAACCTGGCATTGTGTATTATGAATATTGTTAAGCTCTTCTTCTTTGGATAAAAGCCTCTGCTAAATGCAGGAACGTAAATGTAAAACACAACCTTCTTCTCCTTGAAACAACATCTCTAATGATGCGTGCAGCGACATGAGGGCGTGGCAATAATAATAGCCCCTCCCCTCCAGTAACCTGTCAATCACAGCAAACCACGCCCATCCAATCGAAATCTCGTCCTGCCTTGCATTCGTTCTCATTTCACTTGAATCCAATATCCCGAATCACAAATGAGCTTGTCACTTAACGTAGATTATAACTCCCGCCGGAGACCGTTCAGCTCCCAGGACACACCGTTAGTATGAGGGAAAATACAACCGGCGAGAGCGTGAAAAATAGACGTTATCTGACTGTAATGGCGCGTATGCATAGACTGCTGAGTCGCTGTAATTACATTGACTCCAGTTCTTGTTTTCTCTGTTCACCCTGGTTATTACGCTGCTGATCTGACACACAAACAAGCTCAACGAGGCTCCATGAGATGTTTTAGCTGTGATTTCATAGTCATGTGTGGCTGGCTGCTATTCTTGGCCGTCCTCATCACCTTGAGTCCTGCGTTAATCTGGACTGGTGTTGGTCTCTGAACATATTGTGCCCTGTTGAGATGGAGGAGAGCTCGACCCTGACGAGAGAGTCTCTTTGAAATGATTCTGTGAGCGGATCTCAGCTGGACGGCTGTGGAAAAATATTAAAAACAAACACTGAAATAATGTTATATTTTGGGTGGAAATAAAGTTAAAGGGTCAAAAACGATCCCATGATTTACTCACGCTCAAGCCATCCTAGCTGTTTATGCCTTTCTTCCTTCAGACGAATCCAATCAGAGTTATATTCAAAAACGTCCTGGCTCTTCCAAGCTTCATAATGGCAGTGAATGGGTGTTATTTTTTTAGTAGTCCAAAAGAAGTCCAATAAAGTGCATCCATCCATACTAAAAAGTGCCTCACGCGGCTCCGGGAGTGAATAAAGGCCTCCTGTAGCGAACCGACGCGTTATTGTAAGAAAAATATCCATATTTAAAACTATATAAACAGAATTTCTAGCTTCCGCTAACTGTCGTACCCGCGAGAATATGCTAGTCTTGCAAAAACCAATGTTTGTTTAGCAAAGGAAATCCAGTTTCCTCTCGGCTTATATCGAAATCCTCTGACATTTCTTTCTTTACAAATCCTTGTTTTGTACTTCTAATTGGTGACCGGTGTTTTGTTTTGCTGTCTCTCCTCTGCGCTTCCGCCTTCATCACTTTCCGCCGGAGCTGACGCTACGCCGACGTCCTACACGTCATCCGCCGGAACGCCGTTCTGTTGTGAATGCGCATATGACATTTAGCAGAAGCTAGAAATTCTGTTTATAAAGTTTTAAATATGGATATATCTTCTTACAAACACGCATCGATTCGCTACAGGAGGCCTTTATTCACCCCCCGGAGCCGCGTGAGGCACTTTTTATTATGGATGCATGCACTTTATTGGACTTCTTTTGGACTATTGAAAAATAACACCCATTCACTGCCATCATAAAGCTTGGTAGAGCCAGGATGTTTTTAAATATAACTCTGATTGGATTCGTCTGAAAGAAGAAAGTCATATACAGCTAGGATGGCTTGACCCTAACCCTAACTATCCCTTTAAAGTTAGTTAGTTATTATGTTGCAAGCAGTGTTGGAGAAAGTTACTTTTAAAATTAATGCTTTATGTAAGTTATATTTTTGCCAACTATAAGGATCCTTTCGCACCAAAATTGAAATTAATAAACAAATTAATCTATGTTACTCATTTAAAAAGTAACTCAGATGTTTTCATAGTAAATTTAAGAGTAATGCATTACTTTTTATTAGTTAGTTAAAAAAAACGTAATCTGATTACATTTAAAAACAATGTTCCAAAAACGTCCTGGCTCTTCCAAGCTTCATAATGGCAGTGAATGGGTGTTATTTTTTTAGTAGTCCAAAAGAAGTCCAATAAAGTGCATCCATCCATACTAAAAAGTGCCTCACGCGGCTCCGGGAGTGAATAAAGGCCTCCTGTAGCGAACCGACGCGTTATTGTAAGAAAAATATCCATATTTAAAACTATATAAACAGAATTTCTAGCTTCCGCTAACTGTCGTACCCGCGAGAATATGCTAGTCTTGCAAAAACCAATGTTTGTTTAGCAAAGGAAATCCAGTTTCCTCTCGGCTTATATCGAAATCCTCTGACATTTCTTTCTTTACAAATCCTTGTTTTGTACTTCTAATTGGTGACCGGTGTTTTGTTTTGCTGTCTCTCCTCTGCGCTTCCGCCTTCATCACTTTCCGCCGGAGCTGACGCTACGCCGACGTCCTACACGTCATCCGCCGGAACGCCGTTCTGTTGTGAATGCGCATATGACATTTAGCAGAAGCTAGAAATTCTGTTTATAAAGTTTTAAATATGGATATATCTTCTTACA